TTTTTTTGAGTTTTAATTATGATCATATAAAAGCTCAGCGGGAGATAAAAGTAAGCAGCACGCCTCTTAACCGAGCAGTGCCCGCGCGATCTCTCACACACACACACACACACACACACACACACACACACACACACACACACACACACACACACACACACAACAAACGCGCCTAGCATTCCGATCATCCATCCCATCCGACATCTCTCTCTCTCTCTCTCTCTCTCTCTCTCTCTCCACATACGCGAACACACACACAAAACAGACAGCGCCTCGCATCCCGATCATTCATCCCATCTGACAGACGCCTCTCGGGCAGGCAGGCGAATACCTCTTTCAGGAGATAAAAGCCTCGCTCCACTACTCTCCAAATATGCAAAATGAGAATGAATCTTCCGCTAGAACATGGACGTATACACCAGCATATTTTTCGTCTTTCGTGCATGTGGAGATTAGTGGAGCGAGGCCCATATCTTCGCTCGCCTCTGCTCTTGCCATATCCCACGTAGACTACATGCAATGCATCACCAACGAATACGAATTACAAAACGGGGAGGGAACCAAGGGGCTCGGAAGGAGAAACTACCATTCGAAAATAAAATGAAAATTGTTTTAATAACTTTTTATCGAAATAAAAGTCCAACCTTGTGAAAAAATAACCCCCCACAATTTGTGACTCCACAATAATCTATCTATCAAAAAGATAGCAGCTCCTTTCATCCCCTACTTTCACCTGTTTGACGACGACCAGACTGAATTCAAATTGGAAAATTATTCGAAAACTCGAAATTTTGAAAACCACAAAAAATCAAAAATTTCAGAAATTCATATTCACATTCAAATTCAAATTCAAATCCAAATTCAAATTCAAATTCAAATTCAAAATCGAATTCAAAATCGAATTCAAAATCAAAGTTAAAAAAACTAAGCTCTTACAGTACGTGTTTGGCACTTCGGCTCCCCCTTTTCACCCCTCTTCCTCCCTCTCTCTTGCGTCACTACCCTCTCTCTTGCTGGCCAGTTTCTCTGCTCCTCGTCCTCCTACAGGACGTCTAGAGGACGCCCGGATTCTCAGCCTACCGTCTTCCCCCGAATAGAACGCCCTGTCGTTGTGGCTTTATTCGGGGCAACAAGTTTCCGTCTACATAGAGCGATAACGACCCTGCGTTCTATTCGAGGGAAGACGGTAGACAAACATCAAATCAGTGCCCAACCCTTCGTGTTTCTCGGGGATACCCTCTTCTCTTCACTTACAGACCACCAGACTGATTAAGCTGCAAAAGACAGCATTCACACTTTTTTCATCCTCCAAGGAAGGAAGGACAGGACAGCCTCGACACCAGTGACACAGCCAAGCAAGACGATCGTGGTCAGCATCTAGCCACAGGCATCCGGCTCTTTTCCTCGCCTCGACACCAGTGACACAGCCAAGCAAGACGATCGTGGTCAGCATCAAGCCACAGGCATCCGGCTCTTCTCTTCATCTTCCGTATATAATCCATACAGATACATAGATAAGTAGATGGATAGATAGATAGATAGATAGATAAATAATAGATAGATAGATAGAAATAGTCACACAAAACTGGCCAGAGGGAGAAGAGGACAAACAAACGAGGGGCTGTAAAAGACTGTTTCATCGGAGTTTCACCGACTCATCAGGAGGCTGAACCCTACATATAAATATATTGTCACAATATATACATAGATATATATATATACATAGCTATAATCGGGGCAAATAGTGCGATAATGACCGTGCGTTCAATTCGGGGGACGATGGTAGATAACCATCGAGCAGTCCAGAGAGGATGCTGGCTACTTTAATTAAGAGGGAACAGAATGAAAAGACTATCCTTAAAAGGGGGCAATGAGAAAGATAGCGACGAAGAGGACGTGGACGTAACGACGTAAACTCCACGTCGTACATGATGATAGCATGATAAGCATGACAAAGACACACACACATCTACGATCGGACACCCAAAACAGACACCCCAGAAGGGTCGCCATGCATGCATGCATGCATGCATCCATGCATGGATGGATAGCGACGTGAAATCGTCCGTCAGCCGCTGTCGCACAGAGCCTAATTCTTGAGGACTCACACATCGTCCCGTCGGGCACGCGCTGATGGCTGGCGAAGTGACTAAGATAGTCGCATAGCCTCATAGCCGCATAGCCGCATAGCCGCATAACCGCATAGCCGCATAGCCGCATAGCCGAAAATAGACGCATGGCTCCACCTCAAGGCAGCCATGCGCATACACAAACCACTTCCAAGTACGTCAGTATCCAGACGCCTATGCGGCTTGTCGGCATTATCCAGACACCTATCGGCTATTCGGCAGTATCCAGACGCATCATGGCTATGCGGCTAAGCGGAAGCGTCTGGATAGTGCCGACCACACTCGCTCCGCTTTCTTAAGACTCTCCGACTTAAAACCCTCGCTCAGCAGAGTGTCATATATTGATTCATGAGAGATGAGAGATACAGCATGGCAACCGAAGGACGCAAAGCTCAATTTAGCTTTCGATTGCAGGTTATGTGATTCATGCAATGTCTGGTGAAGAAGAAGATAAGAACAAATGGGAGGATTACCTTCGTCGTTCCCTTGTACTTAATACTATCATGATGATGCTAATAATAGGCAATGGCATGACTTTAATGGGAGT